GGAAAATTTAAAAAAAAAAAAAAGTAAAAGAAAGGAGAAAGAAAGAAAAAGGCGCGCACACTTTCGTCGCGATGCACAAAGGGACTATTTACGGCCAGCTATCGCTTTTGCAGGTGGAACAAAGAGGCAAGCTGGTGACGTGCATCTCATTCGAAATCGCGGAATCGTTTGCGCGTAAAAGGCGCGCACCGGATGCGGCCGGCGGAAAGAGAAAGAGTTTGTCCTCGTTAGGTCGACCCGCCATTTTTCTTCGAATCATTTAAATGGACAGATTGCGCGCGCATCTCGCTTCCTTTCATTAATTCTCACTTATTCGGACGTGGCATTTGTCTCGAGACTTCGTTTCCTTTTCCATCGTTCTATTCATGAATATTGTTCTCGTAATATTTTTACTCGAATTTTCTTTTTCTGAATTTTTTTTTTTCTTTATAATAATTTCGACAATCCGGTTTCCTCTTTCAAATTAGATTTTGGAATTTAGAATTTTTGAATAGATATTAGCAATTCTTGATAATTTTCAAATTCTTTGGAATATTTTAGAAATTAATTTCTTACAAATAAGTATAAAGAATTTTTTATATGAGATAAGATTACAAATTAAATATCTAAATATTAGGAATAAAAAAAAGAATATATATTGTTTTAAAATTTTATTACCAATGAACATCGTATTATTAAATTAATTTAATTTCACAATCTTAACTTTGATGCTGCAATATGAAAATGAAAAATCTATTTAAAATTTTAAATTTATAAATATTATCGATTATCGATAATTTTAAAATTCTTCAAAATATTCTTCAGAAATTAATTGAATTCCGCTTTATTGAATTGTACTTGTACTTCAAAAGATTCCTTTACATAAGATCAAATCTATTTGGAATTTATCTTTTAGGATAAATTCAATTAGAATTTTTGAACAGAATTATTACCGATTATCGATAATTCTCAAATTCTTCAGAATATTCCAAAAATTAATTTACCCTTACAAATTGAATTCTGCATTTATTCTTTAAAGGATTCACTTTATTATTTTAGAAGAAGAAGAGAATATACGGCTGGGAAAAATTGCTTTGAACGAAGTAAATCCTTGATTCTGGCTATGATGGCAGCGCTACAATCTTAAAGGCAGTATCGAGAAACCTCGAACAATGGTTAAGGGGAAACGAGAAAGTGAACTCACCTTATATTTTTCGCTCCGCCGCGGCCATAAAGGAAAATGTCGCGTGGCGCTTGGAATCTACGATCAGGATAATGATCTCGATTACGGCTGTAGAATATCCTCGAGCATGGCCCGCTTCCATACGGATCGCCATCCTGGTGAAGATCCACGAACTCGTAGAGGGCGCGAAAATTCACCGGTCTGCGGCATCGAGACAAATTTTCACGTTCATTCTGAATCTGAATTTTTCAGAAATTAATCATTATACGAAATATCGATTTCTCTCTCGAGATTTTGTTTCTCTAATTTTCTCTTTACACGTATAATTCCATCACCTACATGATAATATTTTAAATTTTCCCGCGTATCGAATGAACATATTTGAATGAGAAAATCTTATTTCTCGTGAAAAATTAAATAATACTCTCTAAATCGAAAAACATCGAGATATGATTTTTCTTATTTTCAACCACTCTCATCGTATACTTAGAATACAGGAAACGCACCCTCGTGAGAGAAAAATATAAAAATATCCGCTTGCTAAAAATACGCGATTACAAAACGCGTAACAGAGCATGGACGTTATCCCGCACGTAGTGGTAATTATCTATCTCGGATGGATGATGGACGTCTGTCGTTTACGTCGCAAACGGGGTCATTTACATTTTATTTTCTTTCACACGAAGCCTGATACGCATAACGCACGGTCTAGTTAATCCCTTCCGCATGAATCTCCGTCCACCCTTTATTAACTCATTAAACAAGCCGATTCCTTGAACGCCATCTCTCTTGCGCGAGATCAATTAAAAAATGATTCGTCCATCTCTTTCTCTCTTTTTTATTATTTTATGCCTGCTCGATTTAATTGAACTCCGTCGGTAAGAGGTTCTGTAATGGCTCTGTATTGGAAAGGGATTTTCAACGATGCAGTTGCAAAGGGAGGAGGAACGTTGAAAGTACAAGTTTTTTTATCATTTCTTTTTCTCCTTTCTTTTTTTCTCTCTCGTCAACGAGAGGATTCGAGAATTTATTTAACTCTGTTTATTTATTTTTGCTCCTTGTTCCTGATGGATCAACGTTTATCGTGTCTTTTCCTGTCCTCATTTATCATTTTACGCGTTACCTTTAAACACGAATCCAAATAAATTTGATGTAAAATATATCGTTGTATATTTCCTTCTCCTCGCCAAGGAAAATATGAAGTAAAAATATTGGAAGGGAAATCATCAGGATATTAAAGAGAAAACAATATTCTTATACTCGAATAAAATAAAAATCGAAAGAAATAGAGATTCGTAAAATAAATCGTTTCTTATATTAAAATATTATCTAATAAATTCTATCTAATGAAATTACGAATAAGAAATGGAATTAGAAAAGTGCTTGGAACAATGTTAAATGCATGAAAGACATTTTATTCAGTCGTGGAATCATTTGCGTTTCCGTGAAATGGCCTGAGGAAAAATCGTTTCTTATAAATAACTGATATAAGGGAAGCCGAGTCGTAGGAACGGATCAAGGGGGAGAGAGGGTAGCGAAAACGTGCAAGTGCGCCAGATATTGCGCTGTGTCGCCATAAAACCTCCGCATTCCTCGCGTGTAACGTTCTGTATCGATTCTACAGGAGGCCGGTGTCACGAGCAAATTTCACGTTTGAATTTATATTCAAAGCTTTCTACCTCTCGAGAAAGGAAAAGAAAAAAAAAAGAGAGAGAAAAGTGGCGCAAGATATCATGATATCGGAATTTTGAACTTCTGATTTCTCGAAGGAAGTTAAATCCACCATGGAATGTTTGTACGATTCTCGTTTCAAATTTTGATTTTTTTTTTCCCACGAGGATGAGTTTCATTCGATTTTCTTAAACGGGAGCTAATTGAAAGGAATGAAAATCTTGCTTTTTTATCGAGCGAGAGACTACTCGAAAATACTCTTCTCGTCCTTTGATTCTTTTTACCATCGATCGATAATCTTGCTTTAAAAGTATGAAATAAAAATTTTTTCTCACTTTTATACAATAATAAAATGTTAAATTAATGGTTTAAATTAGTGGCTTTCAATCTGTCGATTAATCCGACTATGTTTTAAATTATAAATTTTGCTTAACAACGTGCTTAAAATTGCTAATAAACGACTAATGAATTATTTTAAAAAGAGATTAAAGATTAAAATTTAAAAATGTAAAGAGAATATTTATATTAAATTAACTGGAAAAAGTTAGGTTAAGTTCTATCGGAATATATATTATATATATTTTCAGATATTTAACATATCACATTTACCTTCCTGTGAATATTATCGTTCTAGCTTATTAACATTTAATTTTATTAGAGGACTTTTAGGATAAAAATGCATAAAAGAAAAAACCAATGCAATTTATTCGAATATTATAAAACTAAATCCAGCTTAAACCTTCTATTCGCGATCGTTGAAAACGAATATTAGAAAAACGAAGCGGTCAATAAAAGTTCGTTTTCCACGGATATTCTCCGTGAAATCTCTTTATATCGAGAGAAAACATAATACGCGTGCCGATATCGATCGATTCACAAGTGAAACAACGACAACGAAACGGCATGCGGCCTGTAATTGAAACTGCTCTCCTCTCCCTTCTACTTCTCCCCCTCTTTTCTATATTTCCCTAGCTTTACTCGATCGAGTTTAAACTTGCCTGAGAGCCGTCGATTCGACCATTCTCATCTCGATGGTCAGGGTGCTTCCACTCGACACGAAGCTCTCGCCCAAGGAGCATGGACGGCTGGTATTTTGCAGGATCGCGTGATCGCAAGTCCTTGGCACCTTGTCCTTACAATATCGTGCCAATAACGTAGTGTTTCCAGCGGGGCGAGCTGCCAGAGGATGAGGTGGGTCTGCACCGGATCTGTCACCGTGACGTTGATGCTCCTTCTCGCTGTTAGGATAGGTAAATAAAGCTTTGAGAGATTGAAGTGGATTAAAGTGAAGGGATGAAATTTGTAGAAGAGAGAAAATTGTAAATTGATTTTTACAGATGTGTTGAGTTTTTAATACAGAAAAGTATTTTGCAATTTTAATTTATCTTTCTGTTAGTAATATAAGTTTATAATATGTATTAAAAAATACAACTATATTTTATAGATACAGATATAAATATATAATATATAATTATATATTATATTATAAAAAGATTTAAATTTATCTATAAATTATTCAAAATTGATCTATAGAAATTTCATAACCAAATGACATGGTTACCAAAAACTTGTTTATCGATAACAAATTCTCTTGGAAATTCTGAACGAAATAAACCAAACTGTATCTCTGCAAGATCTTTAGCGTAATAAGAAAAACACAACTAAACGGAGGCAAACACGAAAATCACGTGATTTTTAAGCATTGATCATTCGATACATAGACTTTGTTCAAGCTATACAATTCAACAAGATAGATACTGCATCAAAAATGAAAATTAACATATTTATAAAATAAAAATAATCTCAATATCAACTTTGAAGAGATTTTAAAATCGATCAAATCTCACAAACTTTTGCGCAACTTACAATAATTAATCAAAATAACACCAACCAAGTGGGATCATAGCATTCGGACAAGGGCATCATCTCTCCATCCCAGACCATGAGCGTGGTGGAGCAATCCTCGTCGCCGGTGGACAGGCTCGTGCCCACGTGGAACTTGAGGATGGACAGCCAGACGCGGAACTGCGGCTGCGGTGCTCGTGGCGCAGGCCTCCTCCACACGGTGCCCGGCCTTTGTTCCGGAAACTTGGGCAAAGGACGCGGCGGCGTTGGGCTAGGAAGTGCTGGGCCAGCGCCACGTAGATGATACAGGCACGTGCTGTTGCGTGGCAAAGAGTGGCGCGGGGAAGCGAGCACTCCGCCCCCACTCCCCTGCAACCAGAACTCGCAGTGTTTGTTCTTCGCGTATGTTGGCGAGTCTGCGTCCACGAACTTCACCTAGAAGCATAGTTTGTTGGATTTTTTTTGGGAAGGATGTGACTTTGTTAAGAGTAGTTTAGAGCAAGAAGATTGAAGAATACTTGTAAGTTGATATTGAAAAAAAAAGGAAAAGATTTTTTTATACTGGTTTTGAATCATTGTGATATTATAATTTTCAAATATAAGCGAATAATTTATTGAAAAGTTACATTATGATATTATTAGAATTGATGTGAGAAAAAGGACTAACAGATTTCTTTAAAATTCATTAGTCAAGAGAAATTTTGAGATAATTGTTTTTGTAAATTGATATTTATGATGGTTTTAAATTATAATTTATTTGAATTTGTAATTTATTAGATCTTCTTTAACATCTCAAAAAGTTTTATAGTAAAATTGACATGAAGAAAAGACATTAGGAAAAATTTATCACTATTAACGTATCCCTAATATCTAAAATTCTTTATAAATCCTCTTCCTAAAAGTCATCGTTCATTCTAGTGAACTTGCATAAAACCGTTAAAATTATGAAAGGTTAAAAAGAAGAAATTTTAAAATTCATTATTCATCTGAGAAAAGATTCATCAACATTAATACTCCTTAATCCAAAGGAATGAAACGGAAGGAAGGAAGTAGAAAAATAAGAAAAATCGCCGTTTTAAAATTCATTATCCGGGTTACACTGGTGAAAAGTCGCAGTAACTCTCTTCCAACCATCCATTTAAATGCGATCCGCGAACGAAGGGGGCCGGTAGTTCGCCACGATGTGAGGTGTAAAGCAAGGTGTTCCTGTGAATGTTTGAACAGAATTACCACGTACTTGCACTTCTAATTGAAAACCGTGGAGCGAGTGCGGTGGCGTAGGATGTAGAAACGTGCCATAAGGAGACGTGGTGAACTCGACCAAGATTTCGGTTCCGCTACTGGTCGCTTCCGGCACTGGTTCGCCTCCTCCGCAAAATTTCAGGATCACCGGGTCTCGAGTAGTGTAACCATCGTACACTGTCACGTAATCCTGCGGGCATCAATGGATAACTCTTTTTTATTATTTCATAGAACAAATAACGTATATCTATGTTAATATAATTTTTTTTCAATAATTTTGAATTTTTAATTTTTTTTTATAATAATATATTTATATTAATATAGAGTTATTTTTTTTTAATAATTTTGACATTAGTAGAAAGTAGATATTTTTTAGAAAATTCTTAAGATTCTTAATAACTTACCTACCGATTCCAATCTAACTTATCTATTGAACAAACATGGAAAATTAGAAAGCATTCGATTTAAATGTAATTCTAGTTATCGTTTCTACAACTTATTAATTAAATTCATTTAAGATGTATTCGATTACGAATACTTTTAACTTTAAAATTCCATAAAATAATTAAAAAAAAAAATAAATAAATAAAATCGTCGAATCGACTTAATCCTCGAACATACGAAATTAATAAATTTTCAATTATTATTTCAGAAACATTGGCCAAGATCGCCATTATCTTCCTTATCTTCCGGCCCCATATTCTGCCAATAAATTCCGCTTATCAACTTAGACCACATGGGGTTACGTTCATCCTCGATTCGAATTTAGTTATTCTCCTGGTGGATCGATAGATTGGGCAAAGAGGTCGGTGATTTAAGAAGCGTTCTTGTATAATGGCAGTTCCGGTTTCGTTGATAGGGATACCTTTGATCACGTACCTTCTCCGTATCTCCTTTGTTGACCATCAAATTTATCTCGATTTATTTCCTCTTTTATCACGTACCTGGACCAAGTCGCAATCGTTCCACAAACGAAGTTCACGGGGCGACGATTCCGCTTGGGTCGCCGCTGGCCTCGCTCTTATGGCCACCAATTGGCCACGAGGCTGTTTCACCGAAATTAACGCGTGTTTTCCAGGTGGTACGTCGTGTTGCCTTACCTGTGAAGTAAAATAAGTGAAAAATATTTAAAAGAAGTTACGTGAATTTTTATTTAATTAGTGGTATCTAAGAATAATGTATTGTAGATTTTCATCGTTTATTATAATAAAGTCATTTCTTTATTTAAAAAGAAAAACAAGATTTTAAATTATTGAAAATTATATATATGTGTGATAAAAAATAAATTTCTTTAATAAATAGTAATTTTAGTAATTAAAAAATTTATATAAAATGCATAAGAAATTGTATTGTTGTATTCAATATACATACAGAATGATTATGTATATTAAAAAATATATTATATATATATATATTAAAAATAGTAATTAATTATATTTGTTCATTGCATTTTATACATTTTTTAATTTTTTTCATATAAGAAATATGTAAAATTAATATAAACAAAATATTTCTCTTTAAATAATAACTTTTATAATTTTTCTTTTAATAATTATTAATTATTTAATTTTTTGACTATGAGATTTTAATTATGGTAATAATTAATAGAAATTAATTTTTGTTTATATAGAACAAATATAATATTTATGAAAATGGAAATATACTATATTAATAGATTTTTCAGAATTTTTTTTACGATGTAAACATCGTCTAAATTGCAAGGTTAAAGTAGAGGATGTATTTGATTGCAGTATGTCGTAAAAAATGGAGGATATGTATTGTACGTAAAGCACACAATGGTGTGTAAACGTTTATGCTTTCGCAAGAGAAGTTCGATCGGAAACATGCAATCATGGGGGTGCTTTGATCGAGAAGTAATTGAATTTATCACTCTCCTCTGGGCACAGTTCATTCGATTAATCGATACACCCCACAGAATCAAAGACCGATAAATTGTTTTTCGCGTAATGCAATACGTAACCGATACAAGATTCGATTTCACTTATCAATGATGTCAATATTCTTTGTAAATAATACATTAATTAAACCTTTCAAAAATCAAATTGATTAATTTTGCTTTTTGTAAATTTTTTATTAATATCTAAATTTTTAATATTTAATTAGCATTCAACTTGTGAAAAAAAATTAATTTAATTTCAAAGATTGAGAAATATTTATAATTTTTAAATTTTAAAGATTTTCTCTAATTAATTAATATAATTTCTAATTAAATTAATTAATTAATTAATTATGGTTCAATTTGCAATTACGAATACGAACGAAATATTCTACGACATAATATTGTTTTGTGGATATTTCGATACGGACGAGTTCGACATATACATATTTCGATTTGTATCGAATTTGTTTATTATGACAAGAATCGATGTTATTCGTATTCTTAGTTCGATTCGATAGATATATTTAGTCTTACGTTGTTCGTCGTATCGTGTGGTCGATATATTGTGCTGCGGAATATTTCGTCTTCGTCGTAATATATTAATAAATTAATAAATTATATTTCTGTTATAATATCTCATTTATAATATCGTATAAATATATATTCTATCACGAAATATTTTGTCAGAAACGTTGTCTATAATATTACATAATCTATATTGCGTCGTAATATTTGCGTCGGAATATTTCGTCCATGATATCATATAAACTATATTATGTCGCGAAATATCTCGTCAATAGTATCGTATAAATTACATTGTACGGAATATTTCGTCCATTGTATCATATAACCTATATTGCGTCGCGAAATATTTCGTCTACGGCGTCATATGAATTGTATATCGCGAAATATCTTGTTCATAGTGTGATATAACAGTATAGTATCGTGAAATATCTCGTCGATTCCAATTTCAAAACGATTAAAATCCATCAAAATCTCTTTATCTCCCGAGCAATCTAATATAATCTCCTTCGTTCCAACAGTTTCTCTTTTTCGATCTTGATGGAAACAATACAAAACCAAAGGAAACTTTAATAGAACCGATATTTGTTCCACGATATTTTTATCTTTGCGTCGAAGTGTATTTAGCGCGGAAAGTCGAGTTCAGCCAGGAAACTGAGAATAATGGGTGGATAGTTCGCAGATCCGCGGTCGTTGCCTCGTAAATTTTCGTCAGAATGCCAATGGTATCCGATGTTCCCTCTTCGTTTCGAACCTGTGCCGCATTCGACCCGTTCAATTTGCTCGTCTGCGATTTTGTAGTGAAATACGGCTTCTCGGATTAACCGGGTACGTTTTACGTGTCACGAAGAACGTTCGAGGGTCATACTTTTCCCTCTTTACGATTTAGAAAGGAAGACTTGTTAATATTCATTAGCAAGGATTGGCAAAGTTTCAAAAGACTTTCTCGATAATTGTTACGTGGAGCATGGAATTCTTGCAATTTGTTTGTCAATAGGAAAATTGGAGGTTATGTTAATAAAATTTCGTTATTAGACAATTATTAGACAATTTCGTTATTAGATTTTATTTTAATTTTTTAAATATTTTCAAAAGATATCATTTTTCGATGGTATTTTAATATGTTGTGAAAGATATATTGAATAACATTGTGAAAAAAGTATTTAATTTAATCTAAATTGAAAAACTATTAATCTAATCTAACTTAAATAAAATCCAATATAAACCAGAAATTAAATAAATGTTAATTTTAATTTTATTTCAAATCAAAATTAAATAAAAACTCGTTTAAATGATTTAATGCTTTTTTTAAACTAGTTTTCTTAATTTCATTATCAATTATCCGTTTATACAATAAAACTGTATAAAAATAATTTAAAATTTAATCTAACCTATTTCAAAGAAATATTTTTGTTAATTTTTTAATAAAATTTTATCTAAATAAAATTTAAATTTATACAATTATTCAAATTGTGATTTTGACACTATATTAAAATATCAAAATCAAAAAATGTTATCTTTATAAATAATTACCTAATTTTTTTTTAATGTTTTTTTTATTACGATTTTCTTTTCTATTCAAATAATTTTTTTTCAATCATATATAAATGACGAAAATTTAAAAAATATGAAAATTCTTTTAATAAATTTATTTTAATAAATGAATCATGGCCAATAGATTAAAAACAATCACTTTAATCCTCCAATAATTTTCCAAAGAGAAAAAATTTTCCAAAACCAATTTTCAATTGCAAAATATCCGCATTAAAAAAATAATAAGACGGAAATTTTTGAATTTTTTAAGAAACGTCATCTTTCGAGGAAACTTCACTCCTTAAAAATCGAAAAATTTTTAATCGTCTCCCGATACAAGATAAAAGAAACAGGGTCATCGAACTTTTGCCAAGTTTTATCAACGGGTAGGAAACAACTTTTCGAAAGCAACTCTCGAACTCGAAGAAGAAGGAAAACGAAAAGGGAGAAATGTTGCGTTGTTATTCTTCGACTTATCGCATTTAAGAGGATGATTCGAAAGTTTTTGAAGTGAAGATCTTTGGAGTGAAGACTTACTGCGTAGTAGCAGGTGAGATTGCGCGGATATAATCCTGGAAAGTTGGGCGACTGGAGCCTGCACTTTTTCCGGTCGCAGTCGCTGAATATGCGGGAACAGTAGGTGCCCGATATCAGATCCCCCAGGTATTGCTCGGTACTCGGTTTCGTCGTTTCTGATGGCTGTTCCACCATCTGCACTGGCATCGCCATCGAGCTGTTCGTGTAATCGCTCGAAGACGTTGATAACGTTGTTTCTATCGACGCTGGCGTACCTGTCGCCTGCGTTATTCCTATAATTCCATAATTTTGATGGATTTTAATCTTAATTATTTGTTTGCTTGCAGGTGATTCACTTGGAATGATGGAATTGATTGTAATCGCATCGATACTATTTTGGAAAAATTACAATACATGAATGTATGAAATTTTTGTCATATTAATCTTAATTATTTATTTTAGGTGCAGGTGATTTATTTGGAATGTATTTGGAATTTATTTGTATATTTGGAATTGTATTTTGTAATTGCATCGATGCTCTTATGAAAAAATTACACTATATGGATGGAGCTTGTTAATAGAGCTTGGACATATTCATTGACATTTAAAATGAAAAATATTAATGGTATGTTATGTGTTATTGATTTCTATTTTCACGTTATTATTACTCATAACGAAGAAACAATAAAGAAGATAGATAGTTTCTTATTATTATTTCTTTTATTAATAGTTGTTTAGTTCTTTAAATAGTATGGATATGAATTATGAATGTGTGATACACAGATCATAATTGACAATGATAGTGAACGTGTTAAATAATAAGATTTTTTCTTTATAGAAAAATAAAATGAAATAGCAAAATAACGTGATGATATTTATAAAAATTTACTTAATATTAGAATGAAAATGTTTTTATATAAAATTATCATTTTATAAAAATATAGTTACATATACCTATTTATTTTCAATTATAATTATTTATAATTATGAAATAGATATTATAGTCTGATTCTATTTTAAAACTCTATTCTAAAAAGCAAGTATAATTTTTTCCTATGATATCTTCATTATATTCTATTATTTAATATTAATAACATCTTTTTCTATCATAAATTTTATAAAAGAATATAATTTTAATTTGGTTTTCCAGAAGCCACGCCATTTTCAAAACTATCTAGCTTATGCAAAAGTTATCAACGTAAGAATATCAGGAGTGAGAAAACAAAGGAATCACGTTGCCAAGAGGAAGATATATAAGAATATAATCCAAACTTCCATACGTACCTACGAAAGGATTGCCATAACGTACCACGGCGTCCGATTTCCTGATCATCTTGTACGCCATCCTGAAGTCGAAATTGAATCCCGTCTGATCCTTGCTGAGCCTGAGCAGCTTGAGGGTGATGGAGACAGTCTGGGTCTCGCTGTAGTAAATCGCGGGCCCCCAGGACGTACCGCACCAGAGGCCGCCCACGTCCGGTCGTTGGGCCTCCGAAATCTGGAGCGAACCGTCCGGACACCCCTCAGCAGTGAACGACACAAATTTCCCCAGGGTGAAACTGTCGAACGTCAACTGAAATCGCAAGTGGTATCTACGTTGATCGAGATTGTCGGGCGAAGTTTGAGCAAATTTATTGAGATTAAGTTTTCCTTTTTTTCTTCTTCTTTGAAAAGGTGTGATGGAATTAGAAGGAATGGAATTTGAATAGTTTGGAAAGTAATTATTACTTGATTGTATTATGTTTTTTTATGGTATAATAAGAAATGTAAGATAATTTTCTTCTTCTTTGAAAAGGTGTGATGGCATTAGCAGGAATGGAATTTGAAGAGCTTGGAAAGTAATTATTACTTGATTGTATTATGTTTTTTTATGGTATAATAAGAAATGTAAGATAATTTTCTTCTTCTTTGAAAAGGTGTGATGGCATTAGCAGGAATGGAATTTGAAGAGCTTGGAAAGTAATTATTACTTGATTGTATTATGTTTTTTTATGGTATAATAAGAAATGTAAGATAATTTTCTTCTTCTTTGAAGAGGTGTGATGGAATTAAAAGGAATGGTATTTGAATAGTTTGGAAAGTAATTATTACTTGATTGTATTATGTTTTTTTATGGTATAATAAGAAATGTAAGATAATTTTCTTCTTCTTTGAAAAGGTGTGATGGAATTAAAAGGAATGGAATTTGAATAGTTTGGAAAGTAATTATTACTTGATTGTATTATGTTTTTTTATGGTATAATAAGAAATATAAGATAATTTAGAAAATAAATGTTATTTAGTGAATTTATATCGTTTTTGTTTTTTTCAGAAAGAATGCAGAATTAGGAATGCAATTTGATGCAAGATAATTTGAAAAATAATTATTAATACTGCTAAGCAGTTAGATGTGATAAAATTAAGAGATAATTTAGATAATTTGGAAAATAATTGTTACTGAATTATATTTTTTTTTATAATTTAGGTTTGAAAAATAATTAATTATATTATTTTTTGGATGGTGTGAATTAGGTAATTTTTTTTTTTTTGATATTATAGAAAGTTTGCTGAATTTTTGACTGTCATTATAAAAGAATTAATATTTTTCTCCTCTTTTAGAATCGTTGCAATTTCATTAAATAGAAATTAATTATTCGTTGGTATGTTAATTAGATTTGCTTGCTTAAATTTTCCAATATTCTTCTTTGAAAGTATTTCAATAAAACGACAATATCTAGCAACGAATATTCTCGAATATTGAAACATAAATATACAAACATCTCTTTAATTTTTCTCATATAATTGAGTTTCTCATAATTAAAGAATAT